TATATATATATATATATAGCAGAACAGAGCTACTAAATATTGAAACAAAGTCGAGTATCGGTATAATAAAATTTCGAGTTGTATCAATTAACTCTAACAATAAAGTCAATAGTTGCAGAAATCGACAATATACGCAATCAGCCAATTTTTTGCTACGCTTTAGATTTTACGTATAATTTTAATTGTACATATATCAATTATATACCTGTATGCATAAGATCTTACCGAGATAATGTAGGTTAATTATAACATCATGTTTTCCAAAATTTGTTTGTGTTAAAAAATGTAATAACTAACCAAAAAAAATTTGACAGAAGTTTAAGTATAAGAATTTATATAATTTCTATGACAATATATAAAAAGACAATATTTGTAACATTTATATTCTTGAAGTACAAACATTATAACAAATAAATTCTTGAAAAGAAAAAGTCGTGTTATGGTAAAGTCACTTACTTGGAGAAGTTAACTAACTTATCGTAAAAAACAAAATTGTTAAACAAAATTGTTTTAACAATCAAAAAGAGCTACACTTTCATGTATTATTTGTTAAGAGAAGCGATTGTGAAGTCTGATTAACCCTCATTAATCTATTCTGCGTGACTGTGGCCTATCGCATACAAATTGACATAGCTACACATGCATATCATAAAACCGTCTGGATGAATGATTATCGAGCGTTAATTCTTTCTCTTTGATATAAGAATCATGTTTGACATACAAGAAGATATATTGAAAAACAATAAAAACAGATTTTGTAAAAATGTAACTATACTATATTTAACATACTATCAATCACGAGAGGTATAAGAAAAATATCAAGCCGCTATGATTGAACAAGAAATTTCATGGCAATTTTACATTTTTGTACATATATTATCATTATTATCATTAAATGTACCGAAAATTGCAGCGTTTGTGGCCCAGCAGTGCTTACTTAATTCTTTTCGTATGTTATACTTTATCAACGGATATTGTACTATCCGAGAACAACAATTATCACATTTTACAGAATCTCAAATCTGACCGCAGTCATCCTGATAGTGTGAGTTTGAAAAACAAAATTGATGAGATTTCATTTACAAATATGTCTGTGATTCCAGAATCTATTGGTAAGTTGTAAAGAAATGCATAAACCATAAACCACATTTAAAAAAGGTCTACGTCAAAAATGATTTTAAATTTATATTTAAGAGAGAATAAAAATAGAATCTAAAAAAAATATCTTTCAACAGCGAGAAGAATATAAATTTTAATTAGTGGAAAAGGAACGGCTAATTGAAGCCTGGACACGGTACTTAAAGCATAATAATTGTATGCTGTTTTAATAAATGATGTTAATGCACAAATATTGTAAAATTCTGAATCAAACGTTTCAGCCCACTTCGGGTCTTTATCAATGAATGTATAGAATCAAAATTCATTGATAAGGACCCGAAATGGGCCGAAACATTTAATTCGTGATTTTATAATATATGTATATTAACATCGTTTATTAAAATATTATAGTATACAATTTTTACGCTCTAAATACCGCGTCCAGGTTCTAATTGGCCTTTCCTTTTTCATTAATTAATATTTATCATTTAAACATTGTGTAATTTTTAATTTTATTGTTGTATTGTAATATAAATTTCATTTTGCCGCAAAAAGAGAAGGAAGAATCCACATATTGTATGTAAAATTAATCCAGATTTAATATAAAGCAGTCAATTATTTAATTTTAGTTTATTTTTTTAAACAATTGCAAATATTATACTTCTGATTTCTTAACCAATAAAAAATTTCCGAGAAACGTTTAATACTTTATTGTTTGATTTTGTTCTGGGTTAATAATTACTTCTTTAAGTCTTAAAACATATTCAAACTTTTTTATATTATTTTATTATTTCCGAAGTCAACACTTGCTGTGATAATTTTCATATAATTTATCTACGTAATTTATCTCTATTTTTTTCTTGTTTTTATTTTTATTTTAAATTTTTTTTCTGAATTACGGAAATAATTAATTTAATGTTTTTGTATATAATTATGCTAATATGTACGATTATAAAATTTTTAGAAAGTATTTTGAGCAAACCAACATCTCCCAGAGCATTTGTAGAATTCCATAATGAATTCCTAAATGAAGATGACGACATTTCTGTGACATCCAGGTAAAAAAATCTACAATCTCAGTCTGTATTCTTTTAAATTTAACGACACATACACATAAAAACGTTGATTCTGTTATAATATTACTAAATATAAAAAGGTCAAAATATTATTTCTTTTACAGATGGAACCAACCTGAATTTATAGACGAAGTAATACAAGGATACACAGTGCAGTGTTGGTTCATCGAGAACCAAAAAGAGATTCAAATTTGCAACAACGAAAGTATCTCAGCTGCGATATTGGAACGCACAGTGCACAATTTAAAACCTAACACGACATACTACTTTCAAGTACGAGCGCATACTAAAGTTGGTGCTGGACCTTACACAGATTTAATTGATGTTTCGACTACGCACGAAAATCCAATACCGCGATTATTGACCATATTGGAAAATGGTATCGATATATGGGATCTGGATTCAAATACCAGCGTTAATCTCGTTAAACGTTTATCGCGTAATAATAATGTGATAAGTGCCGCTTATTCGATAGCGGAACATAAAATTTATTGGAGCAACGTAGAGAGAAAGCTAATGATGTTGGAAATTAATGAAAACAATTACACAATGAAAAATATTACAAAAATAACTGAGCTTCAATATCTTGCGCGCAATCTCTGCATCGACTGGATAGCGAGAAATCTGTACTGGATGGAATCCGACTATATATCTGGTTTTTGTGACATTGTGAAGCTCGACTTAACAATGTGGGAAAATGGCATAATCAAATATGATAAAATATCAAAAATAAAAACCTATCTTGACATTGATCGTTTAACTATATTACCGTCTATAGGGTATATTAACTTTCATCCATTTGAAATAAATGAACAATATTTTCATTAAAAATTTGTACTGATTTGTAATTTTTCAATAATTTCACATGGCTTTTTAATTAAGATCAAAAGTTATAAAAAAATAATAAATTAACACAAATTTAATTATAAGAATTTTGACATTCACTATATATAAAAGTTTTTTTACTACTGTTATAATAATGTTCTATAATAAATAAAATAATGCATATATTTTTTAGAACCTTATATTGGACAAATTACTCTACGGATAATAATTGGCAGATAATACAATCGGATCTTGATGGAAAAAACGCTCGAACCTTTCAGAACAACAGCTTTATTATGTCCTTATTACGATTCCCACTCTATACGTCAAATTATTTAGTTGATATGAAAATTGACGACATGAATACTAAGGAGCCGCTAGTTTATTGGCTATGGCATGATTTTTTGTTTGTGACAGACATTAACGTTTTTATATACAATTTGATTTTGCATGTCGATAATTTTACCAAAAATGACTATCAAATAAGGTTTCAATCTTTAACAATTGACAAGACAAACATTTACATTTCTACAGCTTAGAAATCTGTACTGGATGGAATCCGACTATATATCTGGTTTTTGTGACATTGTGAAGCTCGACTTAACAATGTGGGAAAATGGCATAATCAAATATGATAAAATATCAAAAATAAAAACCTATCTTGACATTGATCGTTTAACTATATTACCGTCTATAGGGTATGTTAACTTTCATCCATTTGAAATAAATGAACAATATTTTCATTAAAAATTTGTACTGATTTGTAATTTTTCAATAATTTCACATGGCTTTTTAATTAAGATCAAAAGTTATAAAAAAATAATAAATTAACACAAATTTAATTATAAGAATTTTGACATTCACTATATATAAAAGTTTTTTTACTACTGTTATAATAATGTTCTATAATAAATAAAATAATGCATATATTTTTTAGAACCTTATATTGGACAAATTACTCTACGGATAATAATTGGCAGATAATACAATCGGATCTTGATGGAAAAAACGCTCGAACCTTTCAGAACAACAGCTTTATTATGTCCTTATTACGATTCCCACTCTATACGTCAAATTATTTAGTTGATATGAAAATTGACGACATGAATACTAAGGAGCCGCTAGTTTATTGGCTATGGCATGATTTTTTGTTTGTGACAGACATTAATGTTTCTATAAGCAATTTGATTTTACAAACCAATAATATTATGAAAAATGAAGTACATAAAATAAACTTCCAATCTTTAACAATTGACAAGACAAACATTTACATTTCTATAGCTTTAAATAAAAATATATATGTTTTGAAAAAAGAGTATGCACTTCTCACGAGCAAAGACGCATTCAAATACATCAAAATAATAAGAGCGTCTTCCTGGATTAATAACTTGTACGCTTTCGGTAAATCTTCGCAACCATATCCTCCGACGAGATGTCTGATACCTGACAAAAAAGTTTACAATATAACAATATTGACGGAAACGACGAACAGCATCATTGTAAATCTTCCGGAGCCGGTCCCTAAGAGTGGATGCAAAAAGTACAACTTACCTACCACCCTATATACCATTAACATCATAAGCTATTGTTTGGACAAGGAGCTTAACAAGTTCGATAATTTCACCATACAGACGTACGAGCGATATTACGAGATTCAGAATTTAACGCCGTTTACAGAGTACAAGTTACTGCTAGTAACAAGCAATTTTTGTTTTGATCAGTTATCAATGGACCCATTATTCAGCTCGGAAATGATATTGAAAACTAAACCGGACAAGTTCAACGCACCGGAAAATGTAACAGTTCAGGCTCTGACGCCTACTATAGCGGCAGTTTATTGGATGTCACCCAAGAAATTAAACTGCGCGTTCGTGATGTACAAAATATACTGGACGTTAATTACCAACAGTACGCGAGAAACAAGACAGTCCTTAATTATCAATAAAACCGAGCATAAAGTAGACAGCAAATTTTCCATAATCGAACCATTGATACCAGGACAGAAATACAGAGTATATGTAAGCATATATCCAGGCAACTTCAGCGAATATTATAATAATAGTTTGAGCAAAACTTTGTACATGTATTCGGAACCAAACAATATAACTTTGAACGAGGTTAGCATAAACGGTATGATTATCTCGTGGATTCCTAGCGTTAATTTGACAATTCAATACGTATTGGAATACAAAAATGTTGAGATGCTGGAGTGGCGGAATGCAAACAACTTTGAGCCGATTAACGAAGGGAAAGTAATGTACTATATAGAAGATTTACTACCAGGAACTCGATACGAGTTTCGTTTGATACTGAGATACCCTAAATACGAGAAAGACTTTACATGGCCATCTGATGGAAGATTTACTTTTTCAACACTGACAAGTAAGCAAAGAAAGATATTATAACATTATATGCTTATTTTAGATATAAAAATGCTTACAAAATTTAAAAGCTTAGTAATTTTTAATAATAAAGTTATAAGTAGGAGTAAGTTTTTAAATAAAATAAAGATATATTAAGAGTATATTTTTGCGTAACAAAGGTGATATTTCGAGCACTCCTGGAATATCGGTTATGCAATATTATCTACCATTCACCTTAAGCCTTGTCGCTATAGTAATCTGCGTCTGCTACTTTTACTATTGTAAGTATATTTGATACACATTTAAGTCTTTAATTGCAGAAAGAGATTATACCTAATGTATTGTAGTAAATAGAGATTTTCTACGAAAAATTAATTTACTTGTTGAAAAGGCGATGTAAATTTTGCAATGCATACTAAAATATATTATAATTTTATAACAGTGTATCGACAACGCAAAGAAAGTAACGAGCAAGTTTTGCCTTCGACAATGGGCGACATCGAATTAGAGACTTTATATGAGATACCTAACGTTCCTTATGTTCAACTCAACACGTTATACAGTCCTATGTTGGAATATAATTCGGACAAATATGCACTGACCAAAATCAAATATGAAGACATCAGACTAGGAAAACTTTTAGGCAGCGGCGCATTCGGAATGGTAAAAAATAATTTTTTCAATATAATCAAATAACATCTCTCCGCGCATTTATTTCTGCGCTCGGCTCTTATTCGCCTGTTTTATAATCTTCATATTATTTTATATTAAAACCTTTTTACTCAATGTTTCTATTTAATTTTTTTAATGCAATGTTATACGCTATTTATTTCTAGATCAACAGAAATTGAAACAGATACGCATTTCCCGATAAAAATAATTACATGAATAACTTTTTATAAGAGATTATAAGCAAAATTTTTGTAAGATAACATACACATGCACTCTATTATGTATTTTTCATTAAATTATTTAATACAAAATAAAATGATATCACTTGACATTAAGCTATATATATTTTTAATGAAGCAAATATTTTAATATATTTCACAGGTGTATCAAGGAAGAGTAAAGAATTTAGAAGGACCGGGCACAGAGATATCCGCTGCTATAAAAATGCTTCGAAAAAATGCTTCCTCGAAAGAGAAAGAGAAATTTTTAGAAGAGGCCATGCTTATGAATCACTTCCGACATAAACATGTGTTAAGATTGCTGGCCGTCTGCTTAGACGGCAAAGATTCTCCATTAATCGTGTTGGAATTAATGGAAATGGATCTGCTACAATATTTGAGAGATAGTCGAAAATTGCAACCATCAGATTCGCACGCTTTGCGTTTGCAGGATTTGTTCGCCATGTGCGAAGATGTTGCGCGAGGCTGTTGTTATTTGGAAAATCTGCGTTTCGTTCATAGAGCTCTCGAGGCTCGAAATTGCTTAGTATCCTCGAGAAATCGCGAGAACCGTGTCATCAAAATTGGCGATTTTGCACTAGCTAAAGATATTTCTAAGAATGACTATTATCGCAAGGTACATACAATTATTTAAAAAAAATTATATTTTTTAGAAATGTTTTGTTGTAATAATATTGTACATTTTTACCTTGAATATTTAAGAAAAACATATTTTTTTTTTTTATATAAAGCAAGAGATAAGTGAATGTTTTTTTATCTTAACACGAATACTCTAGAAATGGACAAATTGAACCAAAAGATTAACTTCGCTTAAATCACATGTTTTAGATAAGAAAAGGTCTGCTCCCTGTTCGCTGTATGGCACCGGAATCTTTGGTGGTCGGAATATTTACTTCCCAGAGCAACGTTTGGTCATTCGGGGTTCTAATGTGGGAAATTACATCATTGGGTGAGCAACCCTACACTGGCAAAACTAATCTAGAAATGATATATTATGTACGCATTGGAGGCAGGTTACCGAAACCTCTCAATTGTCCACCGACTTTGTACGAGTTGATGCTACATTGCTGGAATCCAGCGAATGATAGACCAAACTTCAACTTTTGTCTCAAAAATATTATAGCTTTAAGAAATAACATAGAAGATACCTTACTGAATCCAGTGGATATTATGTAATCGATAAAATTAAATCAATTAATGACATTATTTTTCGAACGATCTAATGAATCTTAATATAGAAAAAATATTTGGATAACTAATATTCTGCCGCTTTCGAGTTTAATCTTAATATATTAGATTTGTCGATAAAAATAAAAAAGACATTTTTCAATTTTACTTTGCAAACAATTTTGATGATTAAAAACACAGCACTTGTTCTTACAACTGTAAATAACGTGATGCTGAAGCTAGTATTTTCGAATAACCTTCTGATATTACTATAATTATGTTTAGATTGCCACAGTACTTTTAGAAATAATGTTTCTCATATTATATTAGTACCTGCTTTATATTCCTATATTGTTTCTTACTTAAATGCTTAAATAAAATACACAATCTTATTACGTTAATATATACAAAGGTAAAAAAAAATACGCCATGTATATAAAAAAATCCCAACTTGTACGCAAAAAAAGTTTTAATTTACTTACTCGATAGGACCAAATATATTTTCTGCAACAGATTTAAATATAACTTTATAACCTCAACCTTATTATATCTTGACGTCGCGATGCTACCGCGTACCTTGATACCTTGCCTACCGCGTCGCTTGATACGTATCATATACGTATTTACGCACATACATTGTCTCTCAAGGCGTATTTGCACACTCAAGCGAATAATCGTACATGAGCGCTGCAAACGCGTCTTGAGGGACAAAATCGCTTTGCGTGTGTGCGTGCGAGCATACGTACGTGAAAGTCTAAACCTTATTATTATTATGAAGAAAAAATAATCACATTTCTGGTATACAATTATCATTCCTCAGGATATATAACATTTTTTAATATTAATACAGAATAAAAGAATTAAATTTTATAATGTGCACATTTTTCCGAATTTTCTAGAATTTTTTATTCCCTTCCCTCTTCTTTTACTCAAAATCTGCACATACGATAAAACTAATTTTAAGTGCAAAAATATTTTTAAAAAATACAGTTAAGAAAGAGAATATAACAAATCACTCAAATTTATTGTGAAGAAAAGATCACTCTCTTAGACACGACTAAATTCAGTTTGATCAGCGATAAATTCAACTAAGATAGAATTATCAAATTCGTATCGTTCCTAATTTCTCCTTTCCCACATATCAAACAATAAAAAAATTAATAATTTTATTTGTGTTAACAATAAAAAAATACTACATGTATCGATGATGAATTAATCGTTGTTCCGGAATATCTAAGCCGCCGCACGCAGATCACGTAAGACCGCGTAAATCAATCGATTAAGGAATCGATTGCGATATTTGCGGCGTGCTTCTAGCTCCTAGTATTATTGCGTAAAATTAGGATTAGGATCATCGCTTCTGCGGCGCGAGCACGTGATATTGCATCAGCCAAAAGGAATCGGCGAAAGAGATTCCTGTTTGTATTCAACTTAAAGAAGTAATGCTTCATTTTCCTAACTATTCTAAATAAAGACTCGCCGGCTTGGTCGGAACTTGACAAATTCAAATATACGCTTTTACCAGGAAGTCGATTGTGTATCTTGAAACGAAGTGAAAATTACAAAAGTGAACAGATTTACTAGATTTCGATAAATGAAATCGTAAATGAAATTTTATAATGTGCACATTTTTTTAAATTTTCTAGAATTTTTTATTCCCTTCCCTCTTTTTTCATTCAAAATATGGAGATACGGTTGAATTGATTTTAAGCGCAGAAATGTTTTTAAAAAGTATAGTTGAAAAAGAGAATATATCAAGTCACTCAAATTTATTGTGAAGAGAAGATCACTCTCTTAGACACGACCAAATTCAGCTTGATCAGCGACAAATTCAACTGACATAAGACAGAATTTTCAAATTTGTATCGTTCCTAATCTTTCCTTTCCCATATATCAAACAACAACAAAATTAATACTATTATCTGTATTAACAATGAAAAAATACTGCATGTATTGATGGTGAGTTAATTGTTAATTAAATAAATCGGAACTTGATCTAAAGATGGGCCTTGCACAATGTATATCTCATCCGGTAATCCATCATCCCGCAATGCAGTTGTTGCCGAGATATTTCACTTATTGTGATATATATATAGATTTATATTTAGATTGTCGAAAAGTCGAACGATAAAGCATCGGACGAAATAAATAATAATAATAATTAACTTTAAATATTGTTAAAGAAATAATTATTGCTCATAAAGAGAGATAGCAACACAAAATAATAATTTATTATTTTGGACTTCTGTCACTATGTTTCTTGCTTGATTAAATAAATAAATTACGCGAAATACATGCTTCAAAATTTATTGTTGCAATATAATTACGTATAATTTAATGTATGTAAAAGATAATTAATTAATTATTAATTATATTAATCATATCAAATTATTTCCTGATACTTGTCGCGATCGCGTTTGGAAAAGTATTTGACGGAGCGTCTTATAATATAATAAATTTAACGAAATTGATTTTAAAAAATGCATACAACTGAATCGGTTTTGTATTTTATTACTATATCATATATTTAGACACCGACGATCGGTCATATTAATTTCTTTCAAATTATCTTCGGATTTATTTGCTGTGATCTGGAAATCAAAATGCTGGATACTTGCTCATATTGAAAAAAAATGTTGCGACTAATTTGCTGTTGTTTGTTGAAATGTATAATGTGTATTTTAAATATATGATAATATATGTTACATACAATGTATATTTTTGAAAATACTAAAAGAATAAAATTGTTTTCTTTCTTTGTTTTTTTAGAAATGTAAGATAATAAATTTGGTTAAAAAATGATTTTTTCAATGAAAATTCAGCACTTTTCTGTTAAAAATATAAGTCTTGAGACACATTAATTTTAACAGATTGTTGGATAATTTTGCGCCTTACCGCGTGATTTTGTTTGACCTCACGAGCATGTGGCTGCGATGATAAATTCTTATCGTAAGAAAATCAGTATAACATAACAATAACATGGTATTTGAACGACTACCTGTCTACCGCGTTATCAAATTGCGATAGTAGGTGAATAAAATATATAGTTAGAAATCTAAAGAGCAATCGCGATGATATTTTCTCTATTTTTGTGTAATTTAAATTAGAAATTCTTGTGTGTATCAATAATTTACTAAATATATTAATAAATATAAGCTAACATATTTTGTTTCTAAATAACTATACACAAATAGAAAAATAGAAATAGAAAAAAATTTTAAATATGATAAAAGCGAGATATTATTTTTTTATATATTATAAATATAGAATTAAGTAAAGTGTTTCTTCTCTATCTTTTTAGAATCAATTTACCTGCAAAGATTATGAATTTTCCAAATTAATATCATATTGGAAGAACTCTTGCCTGCCGCGTGAGTCATCAGAAGATTTTAAAATATTTGAGTGATTATGCCCCCAGCACTTTGATATATGTTGACATAATCAGGTAAGAAAATAATGGAAAAGAGTTGGGTGCTTATCTAAAAATTAATTAATTTTTTTTTCAGTTTAATACAAGAGTTGAACACGTTCGACTTGAACTATCTGAATAAAATAATAAAGATATTAAGTGATCTGTGAAAGTGAAAAAATTAAAGACAACCGAAACGGGATTTCAGTACTTTGATACAATTATGATTTGTAACGGGTAAATCGAATCGCATACTATTGCACGTTTTATTGAATATGATTTTGTGTCAGTAGACAAATGTTATTTCAATCCTTTTTAGACACTATTTTGATCCTAATATACCGATTATACCCGATATCGATAATTTTTAAAAGAGTTTAATACTGCACGCGTATAGATAGCTGGATGAATTTGTCAAAAAAAGTATTAGTGTTAGATGCAGCTTCATCTGATATTGATATAGGAATCGAGTTATTCGATTACACTGTTTGCATGTAATACTTAAGTCACAATCATGATAGATGAGCGATTAAAAATTTTATTCAAAAATAATTAAGATTTTTTAAAATGATTCAACTTTACATACGTAATTAGACAAAAAACAGTTTAAGATTTATTTGACATATTCTCTCTTTTCTTGCAAATTATCAAATCCTTTACCATCGAATGATATAATAAGTAGCTAGTGTCAAAAGTATACATGAAACTAGACGGAAACACTGTCAATGATTAACATTTTTATTTTTTGTACTTGTTACAAATATAACTTTCCTTTTTGAACGAAAATTGTGGTATATGAACTAACAATAATTATGTAACGCCACTTTACAAATATCTCATCAACATCGAATATTCTTTAATGTGCATTATCAGTATACTTACCTTAAGCAGATCAGAAAATCACAATAATATCAAAATGACATCATAATGACTATCAAAAGTCATAAAGTACGGTTGTTATACTATTCCTCATGTTTTATATGCAGGTATGACAATTTATTTATCATAACTATCTAAGACATCACGATGAGTAATTCTAGATATAACTACCCATATAGTACAGAACATTGCAACAACATTGCAACATGTTGTATAGGTTTGCAATTATCGTTGTGCGATATTTACACGCATCATTTAAGACGTATTATGCAATTCTAATGCTTGATCTGGAGAGATAATATATTAAATTTTTATATTAAATTTTACAAATATCCTATATTTTTGTATATAATTATTTATATGAGAGAGTATAGGTATATTCTCTCATATATAAGATATAAGCATCTTATTTTAACCCTCCGACTGAATATGTGAGTGGTTGACGTCTCCAAAGCAAAATAACATTTACTTTTATCAGCAAAATTTTAGAAATTTATATATTATCTCTAATTCTGATTTATCAACGATTTTTGTTAAAAACATTGTCCGTTTGACCCTCTTAAATAATTCAACTTTTGTAAGCAGATATCGATCAGCATTATTTTTTTTCTTGGACATTAAGCCTCGAAGTGAAAAATCTTAAAAAGATTTTTTTCTTCTCCATATAGAAAAAGAAGTTACATATTTTTAAAGATCCCTTTTTTAAAGACTCATCTTCTTCTTTTGTTTGTATTCAGAATTTATTAAAAATAAAATATTAAATAAATAATTTTTATCAAAATGACTATGAAATCATCAACTACAATGTAGACAGATGTTTCATAAATTTTTTCAGATTATTTTAAATACTTTAAGGTGAGGAAAATAGCGTCGGACGCAAAAGACCTAGAGTCTTTTCGGCACCTAATAAATATGTGGTATTCTAGAAAGGTGCCAAAAAAACATATTCAATCGGAAGGTTATTAATATTCTTACTTTATCTCTTTTAATGAATGCTCTTTCACGTATATTTAAAACTGTATTATTTAATTTTAGCTTTAAGTTATGTCTAAAATCACGTGAAACTAACTTGAATTTTATTTCAAAATAATGTGTTCTTTTTCCGCAGTTATTTTTAATAGTTTTTTTTAACAGTTGGCGGAAATACAACGCAGCTAATCAATGTTAAAAAAAAAGAATTTTCGATTAAAATTAAACCAAATAATTTCTAAGTTCTAAATTCCTGAATTTTGAAGCTTTGTCAAAGTATTTTAGCTAGTTATTTAAAATAACTGTTATAAAATTAATAATTTATCGTTCAATTCACTTAATAAATATATATACATATATAGATATATATTTTTTATACATATATCATAGAATTGGAATTCTGTCACAATGCGTACAGGTAATAATACTCCACTATTAAAAAGTGTTTCTTATAATAATAATAATATGCATATAGTTATATACATAATTTATATGTATAAATTTTAG